CGAAAAAGACTCTTTCGCAATAGTTCGCTATGTGAAAAAGAATAACGACCCACCAAAATTAGGAATATTAATTCCTTATATTCGTGTGCCGAGAGAATGTTTATATTTTTGTCGTGTGTGTGTTTATATTTAACTAGTATTATTTTATTTATTTTTGGTCGACCAGATTATTTAACTAATAAATATTTTTAAAATTGTTCAAAGATTCCATTTAAAGAAGATTGTCATCATTTCACCTTTCCTTCTTTTGATCGCGTCATAAGTAAAAGTGGTAAAGAATTGACAAATCACAATTATTTACCAGATGACAATATGCTTGAAAAAATGGACCAATTTATTGACGGGATGGATCTCATGAGTGCTGCAAAGGATGAGAAAGGGTAAAGATCTTTGTGATTATGTCTTGATGGATATTTAATTAGACATTTTAATACATGGTTTTACTTATTTAGCAATATGAAAGAATATCTCAAAGTTAAAGAATGTTTCAATCCGGTTATTGTTCAAACCAAGAAGGCGACTTGTCACAGAGCATTATATCCGAATGATCCGTTGCTTCAGCCTAACCAGGAAATGATTGCACAAACACAGTTTCTTCCGTCATTAATTCGAAAAAATTCAGATCTAGCAGACAAAATGCGGGAATTATTTAGCATTAAAAAAGGTATGACCGATCGAATTATTTGTAAGCCATCCGAACTTATAAGCTTTTTTTTTTCATATTTTAATATTTTTAATATAGTTAACAAAGAGAGAGGAAAGACTGGAAAACGTCGATTTGCTGATGCAAACAAACCTAGTAGCCAAGAACTTAGTCTTGAGGAAATTTTGAACAAACCAGAAGAGCACAAAAATGGGAAAAGGGCTAAATCAGATGATGGCATTACTACAGATGCGTTAATCCAACATGAGACCATTCGGGAGGTCGGCACTATTGATCCAATATCTAATTTCCAAGCAATGATTGCAAACCGACAAGAAGATTTAGTTTCAACTGGTAATCGTTCTTGCATTTGATTTATATTTCTAATTGTACATCATATATAATGTTAACAGTTGGTTCTATGTTCGTTACTTGCTTTAGCTGTGGAACAGATGTCCGTGACAATATTGCATTTTGTCAAAACATCGTTTGCTGGTGGATTATATCCAAAGGCATTAGATTGTCTTAAGATGCTACGACAGGCGTGTACGAAGGTACCATTTAATTATAATATGGGAAGTCAGTAGAAATAAAACAAGCTTCTATAACTTTTTAAAACTTTAAACAAATTAAAAAATTTTTAAGGTGGCGGTTTTTTTTTGAAGTTTAGCTTGGTTCTTACAATTTTTTAAAAAAGCTTTATTCAACGTATAAAAAAAAATTTATTAGAAATCTTCTAGTTTTTATTAACTTATCTACATATATATTATAAAACGCATAATTTATATTAATTAGGAAAATGAAACATCGAGGTTCAACGATTTCCTTAAAGAATTGAAGACTACGTGTTTCATGGCACAACCCTCTAAAACTGATTTTTGGGATTTGATTATTCGTGAGAAAATAACTTTAATTAGTCGAGATGAAGCGCCGGACAGTACTACATCGATTCAAGAAGCTGAAGAGGTTGGTACATGTCATGTTTTTTTTTCATTAAAAAAAATTTTATGATTTAATTATTCTTTCAAAAAGTTTCTCCGGCCCTTTGAAAAGAAATCAAACGATACATTGGATGAAGATGCTGTGGCTACCGATGATTTGGTAATGTATTCGACTTACATTATACGACGTGTATGTAATCCCTTTATTGACTCGATTTAAACATTTGTAGTTTAAATTGATGGAGGACTAGTTAAAATAATAAATTGTTTTACATCCGATACTTTGTATTCATAAGTACGTAAAATAAATTGTCTTATCGAAACATAAAAATTTATGATTTATCGTTTATTTGCTTTTTTTTTATTTTAATTTTTTTTTTGCGACAAGAAATATTGACATTTAGTGCTAGAATTTCGGTTTAGCCAAATAATTTTAATTAAGTACATACATAATAAAGTAAGATTAAATCCCTTATCAAATCAAAATCTAAAATATCGTTTCTCTTGCCATATATTCTATAAAGTATACATGTAGAAAAGATAATGATCCAAAAGGATGTTACCAGACCAACAAATCATTTTAGATTAGACTCTGTGTTATTATGTAGGAGCAATTATTCTTGCTTACCTATTCTAATTTATTATCTAAATAATTATAAAGTACCAAGCAGTAGTTAACTCGATTTCTTTTTAGAAGTCTTCTTTTTCTTTTTATTTTTAGTACCGCTTGCTGATGACGTAGATGATACTTCTACATAATCTTCTTCTTCCGCAGTAAGGACGGCACTTGCACCAGAATTGTCGTCATCACCCTGGATACTGCGTTTCTTAGAACTTCCATCGTCACCCTCGCTTTCGCTTGACATTTGCTTCGCTGGGCGACCTGTGTCTTTCTTCTTCTTTTCTTCGCTTTTGCTTTCGACATCATCAGCAGAATAATTAAAAACATCTGTTAATTGATTTTTCATTATCCCGGTAGCGAGGACAGACAATATACAAGCAGGGGAAAGATAAAGTAGTGCTGGTTGTGCAGCTTTAAATGTGTGCATAACTACTATTGTTGTAACAAGCCCCAGTATGTATGCCGTAAAACAGTTCCAAAAATAAGGAGTGGGGAAAGCAGAGTTTCGACTCGCATTAGGGTTCTTTTTTAGGTAATTGCTGTGGTCGAAGCGAAGACAAAGGGCCACATAAATACCTAAAATTGCGATTTTAAATCCTTTTCAACTACGGTCCTAAAAATAATGTACTGTGATTTCAAGAGAATAGCTTACCAGGAACAACAATATCACCCAATCCAAGCATTGTAAATTGCAAAGCTTCATCAGGCTGTAATCCAATCCACTGTTTTGGCCATACAACCTTAATGGGTGCGTCAAAGCTCTTTGCTACGGTGACCATAACCTCTGTACCAAATACCCAAAATATATCGTAGAAAAATAATCCGCCAAGAAGAATCATGCCCGTTTTGAAGGAATCCAACGATAACATCTGAATTGCGTTAAAAGCAAAGGCAAGTCCGAAAATATTTGATGCAATCCAATTTTTGGTGCCCACATAAAAAGCAGTAAGGATAATGGAAAAGAAAAAAGACACGAGATGCATGATTGTGAAATTGGCAATGTAAAGTTCTAGAAATATAGAAAGTAATTGTTAATCAAAATGTATAATAAAAAATATATATATAGATATATATATGAACAGATAAATGTAAACAACCTTTAGCCTTCTTTGTTAATACGAGTTTATAAGCGTCAACCTTAACCTTGAAAACGCTTTTAATAACGTGAACTCCAACATTAGTTACTGCAACTACGCCCAAGAATGCAAAGTATGCAGTAACAAGATAATTTACATATTCCTTATCCAACAATTTAAATATTAGATATAGAGAAAATAACACGACTGAACCAAATATAGGAAA